TTACTGTTTCTTCAAAATTTTTGTGACAGCGTTTAAATATTGTTGATGTTTTTGCTTCAGGTATTTTATAGTATTTTTGCCGAGCATATGTACTGGCATTCCATTTATTTGAAATCGTACTGGACTTACATCCAAATATTGAGATAACATCAGACTGGATTTACTACTTGAGTTTAAAACACTTTCATGAACAACCTTTTCTGATCAAAATCATTGAAACCTTGGTTTTGTTCTAGTAGATTAAAAGTGTATTTGCTGAAATTTCACACTTTGTTTAAATAGGAATGACATATAACAGTGCCAATGGGAAGACTTATGTTGTTTATGGTAAATATTTATGATAAAATTGTCATGGAAACTGATTATGTACCCACACCTTTTAGACGCTTTCCATCCAATGTCATTGGGAAACCTATGGTATGCACAGTTTTTCACCTTTATTTATTTTTATACGATTGTTTTATTTATTTTCAATTTAAGAACTTAATATAATGAATTATAAAAAATGCACTTTGAACCAGCAAGGTGGTTGCAATCTATATAGACTGTACTGGGATTTTATTGATGGATTATTCACCATTGAGCAATTGAATAGAGATTTGTCAAATCACTTTAACTATTTAAAACTGTATGTGACAAATCATGAATGGAATGACCTAAAATTAATTGAAAATAGGGTTATGAGAAACAAATTTGTAACTAATAGGAATTAATTAAATTAAAAATAATCAACAATGACCAAAACAACTAAGCATTGAACAAATTTTAGCAAATAAGCAAGCACTAAAATCGACCGTTAACATTATTTTTACAAAGTCTGACAATGCTAGTTCATATCATGGAAATGATATATTTGGGACAATTAATAAAGTCTACAAAGATGAGAATCTTCAATTGTTAAGAACAGATTACAACAAGCCATCAAAAGGTAAGGGCCAATGCAATTGTGAGAGTGCGGGAGCAAAAAATATCATAAAGAATTTCATTAATGCAGGCAACAATTTGACTACAGCAAAAGACGTTTAAGTAATGCAAAAGTGTCAGTATTAAAAATTAATGGTGATAAAACATTATCAGGTAAAGTTATCAAGAATGTCAGTTTGTATGATTCAATACAGTATTTTGCAGAACATATGAAATTGCGAAGATACTTTGATATTGGGCAAGGTGTTGATCAACTATATAGTGGCATTACATTTGTATTTGACTATCAAATCATTCTTCCAATTAGACCAATAGATAAACATCTAATAACCAAGAAAAATTAAAAAATCAAAAAAAAAAGCAAGAGAAAACAGACAACTATGCAATCTAATTTTCTGTCAAGAGAGTGGATGTAGTACATCATTTGATAGGATCAAGTTTGACACCCACATGCTAGCTGGTATTCACCACTATTTGCAGATAACATTGGAAATGAATAAATTTAAAAAGTTGTTTGTATCAAAAATGAAATCATCTTCACAAATGCATTTGCTGATATCAAGAGACATACTTACTTTATCTGATGTGACTCTCAAAACTGCATGTGAACAATATCCTATCATGTTTTCATTTTAAGAAGTTTGGTGGGCTCTACCAGTACAAACCACAAAGTTCCTTGCTGTATAAATTGTTCATGAAAGGTCAACAGACAGATAAGATAATAAGGTAAGAGTACAGACCAAGTGGAGAAGTTACTTTGTAAAAATTTAGATCTGCACCAATATGTTACTTTGCAGCAGATTTAATCTTTGTTTTCGAGATAGGCCAAAAAGTATAAAAAAGGATCATTGAAAGAACAGGTAGAAACAGTGAGCAATCAGCTAATTAACAAAGAAAAAACTGAATAATAAAGACAAGTATGATAACTAAGATGGTAAAAATCTTGAAAATAATGATGAAGATGATGAAAATGAGTTTGGAATGGCAATTCAAGAACAGGTGAATGTTATAATGTAATATATTATAATAATATTTATATATATAATAATGATGTAGGTAATTAAATGAAAACAACAGAGAACTCTCTGATTTTAATATACGCTGATTTTTTGTATCAGTGAATTCATTAACACTTTTTAGCATCAGTAAATTGTTTCTATCATCTGTGCATTTGTTTATTCAGGTACATTTTATTATCAACGAGTTAACTGCATATATGAGAGACAGTTGGGTAGCTGAGAAATAGCATATTGTACCCTGGTATAGTTACAAAGACACCAAATAAAAACTTTTTTTATTTGGTGTCTTCTAAAATACAATGTTTAAAAAACTATTTCAAATGGCCAGTAACAGAGCAAATGCCTAACTACAAGGAAGATCATATTTTATGCTAAGTTGCCCAACCTTTTCCAATCAACCCAAGATCATATTTCACTGAATCAGCAAGCAACCTTGATAAAGCTTGATGTTAACTTGAATAGCTTCGTAACTAACTTTGTAACTTCGTTAACTGCTTCGTAGGAAATAAGAAGATTTTTTTGATTCAATTTATTTTACCACACATTATTTATATGTTGTAAAGTATTTATTAAATACAGGCTTGGTCAGGAAGGCGTGCCATCGCACGCCATTATATGACCAAGCAAATAATACTTTATTTTGTTGATTTAACAACGGTTTTTAACATTTTAAAAATGCGCTGAAAAAAATTTATTTTTAATTACAACAAAAATAAATAACTTTGAAACTCTTATCTTTACTAACGTTTTTATATTAGCGAAATGCTTTTAAATAAAATAACAATTACTGTTAACGTTTTAATTTAAAGTATAGATGAAAGTTGTATAAATTTCATCTATACTTTAAAAATGAAAGTTGTATAAATTTGTTGAGAAGAAAAAAAGACAAACTTTTGAATTAAAGACAGTAGTTTGAATTAAACTTAGATGTTTACTAATGTTTTTATATTATTAAAACGCTTTTAAATAACAATTATTTTTTAATAACAATTCACTGCTTATGATTTTTTTTACATTAGTATTTATGTATTTTTCTTTCGTCTTTAAATTAAAAAATTATAGATTAAAGTTAATATACTCAAAATACAAAAATTTTTTTTTGCAAGAATGCAAGTTGAAAAAAATATATAAATATAATTTTATTTTTATAACTTTTATGATTTTTTTTCTTTAGTCTTTAAATAAATAAAAAAAAAGAATTATTTACAAATTAAATCAAATTATAAATTAAAGGAATAGTTGAGTTCAATATTTTTTGTTTTTTTTTTTTCATTTTTCCTCATTTGCTATCTTATATTGGATTTCTGACAAAAGCAAAGATTTAATTATTTTTCTTTTGTTTACATTACTACGAAGAATTGCAAAGTTTTTTTTTGTTGTTATCTTTTAAATATGCGTTTTTATTAAAAAATCGTTGGAAGTTGTTACTTTGTTTAAAAGGGTTTCGGTATGTCTATATAATAAAGAAAAAACATGTTATTTTTTTTGTTTGTTAGACAGTCGTCATTTTTGTAAAACATGTCCCCTCCCCCCCCAAAAAAAATAAAAAAGCATCATTAAAAAAAGTTTTCTCATTAAGTTAGATCATTTTAAAAAAAAATACCACTAATGCGCAATAAAGTTTTTTGTAAAAGTCTTTATTTACAATTTTTTGTTGAAAAGTACTATTTATTTATTTTTTAATATTAATATAATTTTATATGGTGCGGTAACAAAGCAGACGGAACACTACTAGTAATTATCTTATTGTTTATGATTTATTTTAGTTAAGTTTTGTTTTTATTTTTTTTATTTTTGTTTTATTTATTTATTACTGAGCTATTTTTATTTTATTTTTCATTATTTTTTTTAAGATTTTATTTCATTTGTTAAAATAAGTTTGTTTTTTTAGTTTTTATATAACTAAGTTAAGTTTTCAGCGCTTTATTAAAATGTTAAAACTGTGGTCAAATCGTCAAAACAAAATATTACTTGCGTGATCACATAGAGCCGTGAAATCGCATGCCTTTCTGACTAAGTCTAATTATATACCTAAATATATGTATATATTATGAAGAAAATCAGATTTTTATCTTTTTTCAAAATGATTTTTCTAGAGAGTAAGATCGCACATAAACTTTTTATCTATATGGCAGTCTACATTTTTATAAACATATTTCTAGTTAATATTTTTTAAAAATCTTTTGGCTTCAGCTTTTATGAGCAGTCTAAAGTTGAAACAGTTTTGATAGTGAAAAGCATGTTTTTTTAAAACATGTTTTTAATTTTTAATGGAAGATTAGACCCACAGCTAACATATGGTGTAAAAAAGTCTGCATCGCTATGTTGGCTTCAATAGTTACAGCTTCAATAGTTATAGTTACAACTTGTAGCTGGCTGTTATAAATAAGTTGACAAAACATTTTAAAATAAATAATATTCCAGTAAAAGCTTCTTAAAGTATGACATAATGCAAAATAAGCAAATTGACTTAAATTTGTCCAATTTTTTAAGTACCATGCCATGGTTGAACAACAAATACTTAGATTAAAAAAACTTGTATTTATCATTGCATCTATTATACAAAGCAAATATGTAAAAAGAGTGGAATTGGTGACATTCAGCATTTTTTCTTCAAAATTGTCTAATTCGTAGAGACAATTGCTCATAAGCAACTACATGTAATAATTTCTGCTAAATTCTAGTAAAACTTTAATTTTACCTTAAGAATTAAAATTATGTAAATTATGTAAATACACACACACCTATACACATGCACACATGCACGCACGCACGCACACATACATACATACATACATACATACATACATACATACATACATACATACATACATACATACATACATACATACATACATGCATACATACATACATACATACACACATACATACATATGTACATATGTACATACGTACATACATACATACATACATACATACATACATACATACATACATACATACATACATACATATATACATACATACATATATATATATATATATATATATATATATATATATATATATATATATATATATATATAAAATATTTACAGTGTGATCCATAAAAAGGTACTTCTGGTTCAAGTTGAGAAACTCTTAGCAGTTTTATTCCAAAACAAGACAGTTCAATACCAGTTTTCCAACATACCCATTCAGGCTGTGCTACTTTCATAAAAATTTCATTTTCAAATTGGGGTTGCTTAGTATTCATATCATTAGAACAATGAATATCGCAACACGAAGCTACAATTTTAGAAATTCGACTATCAGCTATCATCCTAAAATCAAGTGTAAACATTATTAATTTTAGAAATATTTCAAAAATAATTTTTAAACAGTGAAATTAATAAATAGATAGCTCAGTAAGCATAGTTTAGTTCATTAGCTAACTAAGCATTAGCTTAAATGTAAAAAAGTAAAAAAGTAAACTAATTATCTATTGTTAATAAAAAGTCATACGTATAAGAGCAAGGAATCTGCTTATAGAAGTTTTCTTAAAATATAACTTGCTAAAACTGGGGGCTTGTGGATAATGTGTATAACAAATGTAATTGTTTAGGAAATATTAATTTAATAATTTAAAAAATAACTTAATTATGTAATTATGAATATATAAAATAATATAATAATGTTGCTATCAAACTCCGTGTTTTGTTAACTTGCCAGCTGTGCTTTTGTTAACGTGACAGCTGAAAGTAGCTTAAGTAAATTAAAACTTATCAAAAATTTCCATCGCTCAACAATGATGCAAGACCGGCTGTTTTCTCTAGCCATGCTCTCAATAGAAAGTGCCTGTGGCTGGATGATAAACTGTGACCACCTCATTGAGAAGATTATTAGTTTTGTTTAAGCCGATAATAAATTTTGGTTCAAATTGTACATTGGTTGTAGTATTGCTCTGGTTTTTCACTCAGCAACCCTGCTCATTAAAATTTTATTGTCGTAAAATTTATGATAAATAATTGTAACAGTAAAAACAAAAAATGAGTTTTTTACTGGGCTACAAGCCTTTGAGAGTTATACATAATATTAACAAAAGTTTTTTAACTAGATTTCAGTATTTAGTTATTAAACATTGAGAACTATTAAAATGATTTAAAATTGAGTTAAAATAACATTAAAATTAAAAATTAATAAAGTAAATAAAATTAAGAGTAAATAACAATAAAAGTAATATTATTAAAAGTAAATATCATTAAAAATAAACAATATTAAAAGTAAATAGTACCAAATGTAAATAAAATTAAAAGTATATAAGCATTAAAAGTAAATTTAAGACATCTTTGAAAAAATATTGTGTAAAAAGAAATTCAAATTTAATTAAGCTTCATGTAATGACACTCAAACAAAACCTTTATTATATAAGAATGTTATCCAAATAGTTTCAAAATAAATTCTTACTAAAATCTATGCTATCAGTTTAAAGCTTAAAGAATAAAAAACTGTTTTCTTTCCACTTGACAAAAACTTCCATTGTTTGCATTGTATCCATTGTATCCATTGTTTGTTATCCATTAGTTGTTTGTTATAGTTGTGGATAAATTTAGATAAGCTTAAGGAAATTTTTATTATTTTTACTTTTTCACATCCAAAAAAAAAATAAAAAAAGAAGAGAATGATTGATTTTTTATACAAATTTCAAATACAAATTTTACTAAGCTTTACATTTTAACTATAATTTGAGGTAAATGATAGAAAACCTAAAGTAGCAACATATTAAATGACAACAAATGATGCATTTTATATGTGGGCTCACACTATTTTTGGCTTTGGGAGCAAGACATTCTAAAAAATGAGCATGTTATACATGTAAAATTTTCTACATTAGAGTTACGAACAAACTCTATTCAATATTAATGATTGTTACGCTAAACACAAAAAATAAGATTAGTTTTTTGCTGTTGCCAGGAAAACTTTCATTATATAAAATTTTTTTATTAAACGACAGGATTTAATAACTTTCAAATAGATAAAAAAATTTATTAGATGATTTTAATTATGAATAATGATATATAGTAATTATTTTAATTATGATTGATTATATGATAATTATTGATGGACTGAATTACTCTTCAATTAAGTTTTGTAGAGAATAAATTGGAAATAACTGAATCAAAATAAATTAGGATTATTTTAAAATGTGTAAATAATTTAATTTTAAATGTAAAAAATATTTCTACTAAGTTACAACCAGTAACTAAGTTACAACCAGTTTTAGAAATCAATATCATATCTAAAAAACTTGTTAAGCACAAAACAATGCATTAAATTTAGATAAAAAACCATGTCATGTATAGCCATAAGAAAACACCATAGTCAAGCATTGGGTAACTAAGATTTTACTGTATTATGTACATGCTTTATGTGAAACACTATAACTAAGGATTAGGTAACATTCTATTATGTTATGTTATGCACATGCTATAAAACTATAAGATTGTTTTTGGGTATTTATGAGAATTGGAAATCATTTTGTGAACAATGTGGAGAATGTAATGCAAAATTTAAACCAACATTTAAAACAATACTAGAATAACAATAATAACGGAAACATTCAGACCATAAAGACAGGCTACAGTTACTAGGTTACAGTTTATTACAGCTACCATTATTACAACTGCCATTATTAGATGCAATAATTGTTGCATATGAATTGATCAATTTTGTTGCTAAAAATTTTTTCAAGTTAAACTTTTTTATTTGAGAATAAAAACATTTTTTTAATTAATTTCATTTGTCCTACTTAGGTTCCTGTATAATTTTATATTCATAATAAGTTTTTCACATCACATCTAAAGATTATGATGTGAAAAACTTATTATGAATGTAAAATTACAAAGAAATTTAAATATTAGAAGAAAAAAACAATGTATTAAGTTATGAAACGACTTATGTTTTAACTCAAAAATATTTCAAATACTCCTATATTCAAAAAATTTGGTTTGAGTGCTTGGATATTGAAACAAATAATCATAGCACCTTGTAAGCAACCTTGCCCATAATCCACTTGGTATGTATGTTAACAAGTATTGTCTTCGAAAAACTGCTTGAGGTAAGGATGCGTTTAAATTCATCGGATATTTCAACAAGGAAGATTGGTTTTCAGCTATAATAATGCAATCTTTCTGTTTGTCAGGTAATTCAGAAGGAACAAGTAAATATTCGTCTTGTATTTTTATGGCAATATCAAACTTGTTTAGGAGTTCAACATATTTAGGTACCATGGATGAAGGAAACTGGTATTCACCACGAAAGATTTGTTCTTTCAGATCACTTATTTTTATCACACCTGAAAAATGCAATACTTTATTTAACAATTTTATAACAGAAAAAAAAAGAGGAATAAATAAGAAAAATAGAAAAAGTTTTTTGACAGTTAATACAAAGTTGTTATTTTTATTTTTTTTAAATGTTGCAGCATTTTGATATGGTAAATAAAACTATTAAAAAAGACCAAAACTTTAATGATAAGTAGACAAATCTTGTAAAAAAAAAAATACAAAGCACTAATATATATATATATATATATATATATATATATATATATATATATATCTGCGTGAATATATATACACACACACACACACATATATATATATATATATATATATATATAAATATATATATATATATATCTGCGTGAATATATATATATATATATATATATATATATATATATATATATATATATATATACATATATATATATATACATATATATATATATACATATATATATATATATATATATATACATATATATATATATATATATATATACATATATATATATATATATATATACATATATATATATATATATATATATATATATTTATTTATATATATATTCACATGAAAAAATTAAATAATAAGACCTGGTAGTTAAAGAAACATGACTCCAAATTTAACAACTATGGCAATCATTAGATATTATAAACAATCTTAACTACAAGAAAAATAATCACAAATTATACCGCATGGATGAGGTTAAAGTTATTTATAAAAAATTTGTTTTCATGGCGACACTTTGATAACAGCTTATCTCTTTAATAACTTTAGTTTTCACATTAATATGTGGTACTTTTTAGTTAAGCAAAAGTTGCATAATGTTTGTCCAGACTTAAAGGATTGTCCTTTATCAACAAATTTTCCATGTTTTAATAAGGTTTGTATATTCTTTTTTTTTAATTTACCACAAAAATTTAGGAAGCTCAATTGAATTTGCTTTATTTATCTATTGGAATAAATTTTCCCTTTATACCAAGTCTTTATACATAGTCTTTAAAAGCATTCTCTGTTAGTCCAATATAATTGAATCCACAATTATATTGGACTAACAGAGATGATGTACCAATAGCACTTTTTTGGCCGATGCTGATACTGATCCCAATGGGAAAAGGCCAATAACGATGCTGACAAATTAACTAATTATTAAAATTTTGAAAATATAAAACCATACAACTTAAAACCATGCTATCTTTTTTCATGGAATCAGTACTGGAAAACAAATACTTGGACCCAAATCAGAGCCAAACCATTATTTTAAAAGAAATTAGAAAAAATAAAAACAATTTTAGAGGAACGCTTTTAATTTTAATTTTAAAAATAAAATGGTACTATCATAAGCAGTTTTTTTTTTTATTATTCTAATTCACTCACAAGGCTGCAAACAACCATTATTAAGTTGGGAGTTACTAGAAAAAAAGACTACAGTTATTGAGCAACAAAACGGTTGACAGAAGACTTAAAAAGTTGAAGGTTGTATAAGTCAGGAAAACATAAAGATGGGAGAGAATTCCGAAGGGTTAAAGTGTGGGGAATAAAACTAGATAAAAGTTTTTAGAGCATGCAGGGACAGATACAGTAAAAGAATGAGACTTTGATGAATGACGAGTCAAGCGAGAATGAGTTGTGGTTGATGTAACTAGAGATGAATGCTTCTTTGAGCCTTCATCTCTAGTTTCATAAATATTTACAATGCATCTCATGGTCCAACTATGTTTACATCTGCTAAGATTATCTAACCTTAGCAGATTCTGATTTAGCAATCAATTGTATATATGAAGAGAACTCAGTGAGAGGGCTGTTATTCATCAATATAAGAATGTCAATAATACTGCAGTAGTTTTTTGCAGTAAATAACTGAGTTTTGTTGGAGTTAAAATTTACAAGCTACTGTGAGCCCCAATCTGTTACAGAAGTGAGATCAGATTCAAGAACAGCTGCCTGTTCTAAGCAAACAAAAAGAGAAGTCTTTTGTCAAGAGTACTTTAGATGTTGTCAGGACTCATTAATGCAGGTAAGAAACAAAATTGGATCAAGGATAACCTCCAGGTACCCCAGAATTTACTGGAAATAAAGATGAGTGTTAGCCTTCAAGGATGACTTTAATAAAGTGGTTAAAAAGAAACGATTTGCTAATCTCAAAAACTTTCTAAATACACCATGGAACAAGCTTATGGAGAAAACCAAACTGCCAAACTTTGTCAAAACCTTTAGATAAGTTAGTAAAGAGCTTATTTAGAACTCTTTATTAATTTATTATTAATTTAGATATCTAAACAACAATCATGTTGTTTAGGTATCTAAATTATTTTTAGGTAATTAAGTCGTTTTTAGAATAACTTTATTTTGTGATGTTTGATCTCCACCACGTCACTGGTAGTACCATGCTCAACTTGTTTCTCTGCACAGCATCCTTGTTTGTCAAGATTTGTGTTTAGAAGTTATAAAGTTGAGATTGTAAGCATAACTTAAGTAGCCTCCTTGACTGAATTGGCCTTCATGGCCTTGGGGAGGTGAACTAAAATAAAAATAAAAAATTATAGAAATATAGTAAGCTATACTTGAACACATATAGATAAGAATGCTTAAATTGGTTACTTTTAAGTATAACAATAAAACAACACAAAATAAAATTATTCTGAAAACAAAACAGTTAAAAACATCATTTTAAGAATAAATAATATTGCCTGTAAACAAAGTCAAAATAAACAATAAAGAAATTCTAAGTTATGCATAAAGTTTAGTTTATTTATTATTTAACCATTTTAATAATGCAGGATAAAAATATTAAAATGCTATTGGTTTGAAAATTAGTAAACTAATAAAAAAAGGCCAATGGCGATACCAATTGTGCAAAAAGTGGCAGATTAAGCCAATGCCAATTAACTGGTACATCACTAATATATATATATATATATATATATATATATATATATATATATATATATATATATATATATATATATATATATATATATATATATATATATATATATATATATATACATATATATATATATATACATATATATATATATATATATATATATATATATATATATATATATATATATATATATATATATATATATATATATATGTATATATATATATATATATATATATATATATATATATATATATATATATATATATATATATATATATACAGGGACGAATAAGAGATTTGTAGAGGTAGAGAATAAAATAAGAGGTAAGAAAGTGTCAAGCATGATAAAGAGAAGCAACTTTTGCTGATGCTAATTTAGCAATCAATTGTATATATGGTTTACTTGAAAGGTCAGTAGTAAATGATAATCAAAGAAGACGTAAAAAAGAGAACTCAGTGAGAGGGTTGCCATTCATCAATGTAGGAATGTCAATAGTACTGCAGTAGTTTTTTGCTTAAAGTTGCAATTGCTTAAAGAAATATATAAATTAAAATACAATAATAAGAAATATAAATTCTATATACAATGAGTGTATTACAGTTGTTAGAAAGTACAACATGACAAATAAACATTTCTTTACAATATTGCCTTGATTTATAACTAACTTTTTTTTTAATTAAAAATATAAGTTAAATTGGTGTTTATACATGCAATTGTGCTCTGAATGATTGTGTACTAAAAATATACTAGATTAAAAGAAAATTATTCCAAAATTTATGCCAAAAAAATACATTGCAAGAAAAGCAGAAAAACACCAAAAAACCAAAAAAAAAATATTTTGATCCAAAAAAACGCAAAAAGAAAAATTTTTTTTTTTGCAACTCAAAGTGTAATACATTTTGTCTTCAAGTAAAATAAATTACCATAACATATAAACAAATTATAAAATAAATAATATATATATATATATATATAAAAATAAATTATTATAATCTATAAACAAATGGTTAAACTTATACTAAAAGGATAAAATATTTTTTACAATTTTTATTCTTGCAATATATTTAAAATAATAAATTATTGTCACATCAATGTAATTGTTCATATTAACATCACATCAATGTAATTGTTCTACAAACAGTGGATTGGATAACATTTAAAAAATAATAAAGAAAACAAAAAGATTGTATTTTCCAACAAATGGATACAGAAAAAAGAGTATGGGGTTAGCCTTAGTCATTCAAAAAAGTAGTTGAATATATTATAAATTATGATTGGTAGCAGCAAACAAGTCATTGATACTGATTTGCATTATTTATTGAAAGCAAAATACAGAGAACTGGAATAACACATGAAACTAGAATAATTTAAGACAGATCCAAACATTTTCTATGATCTACAACAGACACCAGATGGGCATGTTAGAGGCGAATTTTAATTCATTAAATATCAATATTGTTAAAAGTTTCAAAATTTTCTGGTTTTCAAATGCCTTACATAGCAATAAAAAACATTTTTTATTAGAAAAAATATTAACAGTTGGCAATCAGTTAAAAACATTTGATATGAGTTGATAAAAAAAAAAGAGTCCTAAAACTTAGATTGATAACCCTGCTAAAAATTGCAAAGTGCAAAGATCCAGTTTTCCCCTACTTATGAAACAAACAGTAACTGCAAAAAATTATAGAAAAAATTTTTTGGACCGGAGTTTACTTCATTAACATATAATCTCTCATGTTATAAAGCAAAAATACTGTATTCATTTTCTTTCATACCTAAAACAATCAAACAAATTAACTAAAAGTACAATCATGTTACAGTAATCAAAAGTTATTTTTAAGAGAATTGTAAAATGGAAATTTTGCAGTTACTGTCTATTTTATAAATAGAGCAGAGTAGTCATTTGATAAAGATCTTGAACTGTTTGATTATGAAAAAAAAAAAAAAACCTTTTGAAAAATTAGGAAAATAATGATTCCAATAGATAGACCACAGGTCATAGTATAAAAAGATGCTTTAAAGTTAAATTTCATGGTGCAGTTAGCGTAAAATTCATTAACCATTCAACAATTTCTGCTTCACCAGTTGACCTAAATTACACATATATTTA